TCTTTTCTAGTTCCATCCAATTCCTGTTCATTTTTCTCATGTCCGTCTCCATTTCCCGGCGTAATGTGTTCTTTGGTCTTCCTCTTTTCCTTTGGCCTTGAGGATTCCATGTGAGGACTTGTCTTGTGATGCAGTTGGGTGCTTTCCTCAATGTGTGTCATATCCACTTCCAGCGCTTCTTCCTAATTTCCTCCTCCGCTGGAATCCGGTTTGTTCTTTACAACATTAGGTTGTTTCTAATAGTGTCCGGCCAACGGATCTGAAGTATTTTGCGTAGACAACTGTTAATAAACACCTGTATCTTCTGAATGACATCATTCGTAGTTCTCCAGGTTTCTGCCCCAGTAGACAGTAGAACTGTATTGACATTTGTATTGAAAATCCTGACCTTGATGTTGGTTGACAGTTGCTTTGAGTTTCAGATGTTCCTAAGCTGTAAATATGCTGCTCTCGCTCTGCCGATGCGCGCCTTCACATTTGCATCAGATCCACCCTGTTCATCAATGATGCTGCCCAAATATGTAAAGGTTTTTACGTCTTCCAAATCTTCTCCATCAATTGTGATTGGATTGGTGCATGCTGTGTTGTATCGGAGAACCTTGCACTTCCCTTTGTGTATATTGAGACCTACTGCTGCTGAGGCTGCTGCTACACTGTTCGTCTTCTCCTGCATTTGTTGTTTCGTTTGAGATAGAAGGGCCAGATCGTCTGCGAAGTCTAGATCGTCCAATTGCATCCTAGATGTACATTGTATCCCGTGTTTCCCTACAGATTTTGACGTCTTCATGATCCAGTCGATCACCAGGAGAAAGAGAAAGGGTGAGAGTAAGCAACCTTGCCTAACACCGGTTTTCACTTCGAACGACTTTGTCAACTGTCGTCCATGCACGATTTTGCAGTTTAATCCATCGTAGGAATTCTGTATGATATTGACTATCTTTTGAGGCACGCCGTAGTGTCGAAGAAGCTTCCATAGTGTTGTCCTGTCCACACTATCAAATGCCTTTTCGTAGTCAATGAAGTTGATGTAGAGTGATGAATTCCATTCAATTGATTGTTCCACAATGATACGTAGAGTTGCTATTTGGTCTATACACGATCTATCCGTACGGAATCCTGCCTGTTGGTCACGAAGTTGAACGTCTACGCAGTCCTTCATCCTGTTTAACAATACTCTGTTGAAGACGTTTACTGGTATTGAGAGAAGAGTGATGCCCCTGTAGTTATCACAGTTGCTGAGATCGCCTTTCTTCGGTATTTTGATCAGAAGTCCTTCTTTCCAGTCTTTTCGTACTTGTTCCTCGTCCCAAATCTTATTGAAGAGAATGTAGAGTATCCTTGCAGTTGCCGCTACGTATGCTTTAGGTGCCTCTGCTGGGATGTTGTCTGGTCCTGCTGCTTTGCCACTCTTGATTTGCGTGATGGCCATTCTGATCTCTTGAATTGTTGGTGGGCCAACGTTGATTGCGAGGTCCGTGGGTGCTGCTTCGATGTTGGGTGGGTTCAGTGGGGCTGTTCGATTCAAGAGTTATTTGAAGTGTTCTACCCACCTGTTTCGTTGCTCTTCAATGTTGGTGATCACCTTTCCGTCCTTGCTTTTCACTTATTGTTCTGGTTTACGGCGATTTCCAGAGGGTTTCTTTGTTATGTCATACAGTTGTCTCATGTTTCCTTCTCTTGCAGCCTTTTCCGTCGTCGTTACTAAATCTTCCACATAATTACGTTTGTCGATTCTGATGCTCCTCTTCACTTGTTTGTTTACTTCTGTGTATTCAGCTTGTGCCTTGGCTTTTTCTGCTCTTGTTCGACTGGTATTGATTGCTGCCTTCTTGTTCCTTCTTTCTCGAATCTTATCCAGTGTATCAACAGTGATCTATTTCATGTGATGGCACTTCTTGTGACCCAGGACCTCATGACATGTTGAAGTGATTGCCTCTTGGATCCCTTTCCAGTTGCTTTCCATAGTAGTTCCTTCTCCATTGAGTAGATCATGAAAGGCCTGGAACTTGTTGCTCAAGACTATCTTGAATTTGTTGAGTTTGTTAGTACCCTGAAGAAAGTCCGTATTGAACTTTTGTGATATTGTCCGCCTCGTTGTCCAGTGTTTCGTGAGTTGGCGACCAGCAAGTGATGATCTGAGGCTATATCAGCTCCTCTCTTGGTTCTCACGTCCTCTATAGTCCTCCTGAACGTTTTGTTGATGCAGACATGGTTGATTTGACTTTGCATAGTGTGATCGGGTGAAGTCCATGTGGTTTTTTGAATGCGTTTATGTGAGAATATAGTGCCGCATATGACCAGTTTATTGAAGGCACATAGGTTTGCGAATCTCTCACCATTTTTATTCCTTTCTCCCAGTCCCATGATGTCTTCATATCCGGTGTTGTCCATTCCGACCTTGGCATTTAGGTCTCCCATCAGAATGGTCAGGTCCTTTGTTGGGCACTTCTCGATGATTGACTGCGGCCTATCGTATAATTGATCTTTAGCGTCTTCATTGTAGTCGTTGGTAGGCGCATAGCATTGGATGACGTTCATCGTAATGCCCTCTTTCTTTGTTTTGAATGAGGCTTTGATAATCCTTCGTCCATGAGATTCCTATCATACAAGTGCATTTTGTGCTTGTTTGGACAGCATCAGTGCAACTCCTTGTGTATGTGGGGCATTTTCTTCATCATGGCCGGACTATAACAGAAGCTCTCTTGAGGTTAGTCGTTGTTGTCCAACTTGCGTCCAATGTGTTTCACCGATCCCAAGCACCACCAGATTGTATCTTATCATTTCTGCAGCAATTTGGAAGGCTCTCCAGAGGTCTCACATTGTACGGGCATTCCATGTACCTAAATAAATGGTTGCTCTGATTGTCAGAAGGGTCATCAGCCTCGTGACTTCCGAAGGAATTCGGCTTTCATCATGAGGCGTCATAGTTCTTCTAAATGAAGACCTTCTGACTTCCGGGGCAAAGTTTAAAAGGTTTGAATAACTTTTTCTGGTTAGTGTTTTTTAACGAGTTAGTTTTCTACGGTATGGGGTCGCTAACCTCATGTCCAACCCTCCTTCTTTGTCCGGGCTTGGGACCGGCAGTAGCCCCCAGAGGGACTCCAGAAGGAGTTAAAATACACATAACTGCGTTTTAAAATCAAGTCCTTAATTTCATAGACATCTCACAAGACTCCTAAGGTTCGATTACGTAAACGTTTTATACCGTATTTCAGCTAAAAATATTGTTAAATACTCAAGGTTTTGGTTGATATACTCATCACAATTACACTCGATCACAGCAAATCTAAACTCACATATACTGTCACTCGATCATTATTCGATATTCAAGTATTTATAATTTACATTTCGTGGGATATTACTAAGTACATTAGTCAACAAACCCTGGCTTACCCGAGCGAAATCTGATCCATACCTTAATGATGTGCGAGAAATAGCGAAATTGTGTCCTATAAATGAATATGAGCGGTCGATGGAGATTAGCTTTATCTACTACTCAAACGTAGTTTCGTGCTAATCAGTTTTCTACTTGTTCCGGATACACGAACCCATCTATGTCGATTTGTATAAATGAGCTGGTAAATCTGTCTGTTCCATGTATGCATGCAATATGTGCTTGTGTGGTGTGTGCCTCTTATGTGGACAGTTATAAGTAATATGTAGCAGGAACAGGAAGTAGAATGCTCACCAATAAAAGATTGAGATAAAGAGAAGAAGAAGGAAAACAGAAACCAACCGGAGTGACAACGAGATTGAAAGAATGATAGGACAACTTAAGGAAGATGTTCAGATTATGTATTTAATGTATAATTTTCATACTTTACTAAAACACAAGCAGAACAGCATATATAAAAATATGGGATTAGAGAACATACTATCTCCCCAAATACTAACATCTACACCTATATGTATGCCACAGATTGCATTGGTTCTGGAAGAGTGTATTGCAGATACACATGTAACGCGTATTTTATAAGGTAAAGAGCTGGGAGTTCATCTTGCCTCTCATTAAAGGCAGATTTAAAATAGGGGTGTGAAGACCATCTTACCTTCTCAATCATGACGTTTATGTTCTCGTGTATGGGAGACAATACATAGGTTGATTCGACTAGTGGATTTTATGTTTGTTTGAAATATCTACTTGCTAAAACAAAGAGCTAAGTAACACCTTACCTACTCAGAAGTAGTAAATCATGATAATTTACCCCTCCGGTTTCATCGGTACACGGTTTTTCACTAAAACCATTTATTCTATCACAGATATGTGCGTATCATAAGTAACTAAAATCTTATTCAGAAGAACCAATCGACTACTCCAAAAGATTATCAATATCTATAGCTGGACCGGGCTTAGGAATTTAATTATCACTTTGTGACAGTTTTCTTATCAAAACTATAACGGTATTCATGTATCTTGACCATGGTTGTTATCTAAAAACAAAGAATATGTATAAATTCTTGATATGTACAGTTTCTTCAAAATACATTAATATAAGCTGTGAATTCTGTTGTCATAATAGTACAATATTTTATATTTAGAATCGATTTCAGAGTGTATTTATTGGAAGATATAAAAACAATACGTTTCCAACAAATATATAAGTAGCAAGTAATATATCAAAGATTAAACAACTTTCAGCTCCGTCAAACTTAATCTTCAAGTAAAACTTTCGAAATGGTTGATTTATGAATTGCTTTAATGCATACTGAGAAATGTAGTTACACTAATGATCTATTGTAGTTTAACCCAGTGATGAGTCAATATTTAGCAGTTGAAACACAAAACGACTGTATATTCACTCATTTTTATCGGATAGTCATCTCTTTTCATCTGATTTATTGAAATAAACTTGAATTGAGGTTAAGATTTTGGCAAATTTATAATTGATTATGGTAAATATATTTATTCACTCAAGCTTATTCAATATGTTGGTTACGTTTGCACTAAATTATGAAAGTAAATCACTTATTACTCATTTAAGATGTTTTTCTATTTTCAGGTCTATTTTTTGGGCGATTATTTTATTTTCCTAACATTAGAAAGTTCACCATTCATATCGTCAGACAACTGAATTGCACCTGTCACGTTATTTCGTATACAAGGTGATCGTCAGGTAATTGTGAACTCAGTGCATAACTTAGTATTCATAGCAAACGTTTACATTTATTCATTGATTTGAAGAACGATTAGTTCACTAATGAGTAAGTTCTAGTGTAAATATATTTACGTTGATTGAATACATTGTGTAATATTTGATCTTCTTTCCGGTGACTAGAAAATTGTTTTGAAATCATTTATATCAAATTTCGTAATCACAGTAAAACTAACTTACCAAAATGGTATTTAGTTTTAAATTACTCATGGTCATACCATTTGGAAAATCATTAGGATAAATTTTAGTAACCTTGTTTACTTTTATATCAGTTATACTGAAACTCTCGTGCATTTTTTTCCTTATGGGCAATTTATCAATCAGTTAGATGATGTACCCTGTATACTTTACTTGAACCATAGAAGTTATAAAACATGAAATCTTAAACATAACGTTTACTAGGAATCATTAAAGATTTTGCTACTTTTCAATATACAATGCTTTGGCTAAAGGTAAATTAGAACTCATTATCAAAATACAAACTGCTGCTTAAAAAATTAGGTATCTTATTTAGTTTATAAGAATATTTCATCTCCAAAACACGTAGTATGATTTGTTTTGAAAATATTTTATTATACAGTCATAGCGGCTCTTAATTAGTAAACTATGACCTTGACAAATGTATGTTACTATGCGCCAAACTTGTAAGCTACTTTTCTGACAAAATTATGAGCTGACGCATGAAGTTATCCTGGTATATGTTCAGAAGTTTACTTCAGTTTGTCACAGAAATATAATTGTCAGAAAAGTACAAAGAAATCATTTTAGATAGATATCCATCTTAAAATCGCATTCTACAACATCCCTTATCAATAACTATAGAATTTCAATTACTCTTTTATGTATGAAGCATACTTTAGTATGTAAATTTTGAGTACTATGTCAACAGAAATTCACAACGAATTTGAATTCAGACTTGAAAATTCAAAATGTCACGGTTTATCTCAAATAACATTATTTTTACAAGTCAGAATTAACTAAAACGATCTTATAGTCAATATGTCAAAAACACCAATAATAGGATTAGCACATTAAAAGCTTCTTGAGTTATAATATCTGTTACTTCAAATAAATATTTTAAGTTGCCTACTTTTAATAACTAAATCTTCCCGTTTTCCATGTCATTTTTTTTCAAACTGATTGTCATGTACTAAAATTAATAACATCCTGGTTGAAATGAATGTTTATTCATAACGTTGTTTCAAAAAACGTAACCTGAATATATAGAAGTACTTCTCTATAGATACCCTTAGCCAATCAATATGATTAATCTAGAGGTTGATAACTGGAAAAAAATTGTAAATCTGATTAAAAGGATAGGTAAATAAAAGAATTGGAGTTCGAGTTAGCCACAAGTTATATACAGTGGGAAACGTTTTGCAGATCCATTAGTTTAGATTTACTAAATACAAGTTCACTGCTACACTTTAAAAAAATAGGGGCTTCTTAAATGATGAATGATATTATCAAGCATAAACTGACAAAAAAAACATTTTGCGCGCATGTAATCATTAATCAATATCCCGTAAATAAACCATAGTATTAATTTTATTCGAGATGGGTTTTTCGTTCATTGTGAGTTGATGAGAAACGTCAAGATTGAAAACAACAGGCACAGTTGAAATAACAAAAGAAATCGATTGTATCAATGGGGAAGTATAAATAGAACTCATTGAAGAAAATTTTAACAGGATGGGAGTTTGTGGAGATTGTAGTAATTTTAATGGTTGAATTCATTAGTCGATTTAAGCTAGGCCACTGTTAAAAGCCTGGAAACACTGGACGGTCGTTTCTTTATAATAATGGGTGTGGATGAGCACTGTCACATACTATAGTGAATGCTTCCAAGTTTTGAATGGTGGTATAGTTTGGATTGGATCGTGAATTCAAAACCCCATACTGGTAATAATCATTTGCTCACTAGTAAATAACTTTAATATGGATTTCATGGAGATCTAGTAAAACGCCGTGACCAGTGGAGTTCAATCCGTGTCAGTTGTTACACAGTTATACATCTCAGACCGTGGATGAATGGTTGCGCAAGGCCTTTGATTGATAGAAATTAGGCATAAACAGCGTTGGATGCTGACTTAATAGTTATGAGGTTGAGTGTTCGCGTGCAGGATCGTGAATGCGCATGCTGAGAAATCCAATACTAGGACGGAACAACCGTCCAGTACTTCCAAGTTTTTAGTGGTGGTCTAGCTTTGATCAACTCATGAATTCAACAATAAAACTATTATTATTGAAAATGCTACTGTTTAATGTTTATACGAAATAGCTTATAGGTCAAATGAAATTTATTGAGATTAATAATCAGAAAAATAGTGTTTAAAGAGAAAGTTATGGATAGATTTTTTTACTGACGACTTGTTGAAGTTCTTATAAAAGCCTAGAAATGCAAGGAATGAGTAGTTCTTTATTGATAAAAACAGAACTAAAAGAGTATAAATAATAAAACTAATTCTGTCTTTGGGAAAATTAGACCTACGCCTAAATGGCTAGAACATTTGACGTTTTTATTATCAATATTCAGTTTCAAAACGCCGATCATCTGCCTAGATCTATCCAGATTTGAGTAATATCACTATTAATCATCAACCACAAAATTTGTGACTCGAAGATGTGCACACAAAACTGTAATTAGCAAATAAATTACCATGTGAAAAATGTTTACTTATTTTAGGCATTCCAAATTATTTGAAACAAATAATGATAATAATGTTTTTGAATGACACTTATTTAATATTAATTACTGAGAAATAACAACAAACTAATTATAGTACTAGAAAAAGAACTTTTTAGATTTTATCCTTCAAAAAATTAGCAATGTTAGCTAAAAATAACGGTAAATATAATTCAAGGATGAACTTTATTAGCCTCACTCAATGGAAGTGTTGCTAATTAACCATTATGTCTATAATTAATTAAATGAGTTCTATGTGACCCAAACTTATTTTTGCATGAATTCTAAAAAAGGAATAATTATCTTACCAGTAAAAAGGTAGCTTTCTATTTCTATAAACAGTGAAATCAAATTAAAGTTTGCATCAAAGCATTAGTTTTTGCAAAACTACATTCTAATGTAAACATCACCTACTGTGATTGTTATTGTTGTCGTCAATTTTGTTTTCTCTAGCATAATCTAGAAAATTATTGATGTTTATTTCAATTAGTTCCTTTCTTTATGTTATCAAATTTGATCTTTACAAAATACATATGTTGTTAAGGATAGTGTATGTACTTTATATTGAAACGAAAATTTTGTCTCAATTCCTCTGGAATAACTAATAGGATATTTCTGAAAGCAGATGGCTCAAAACTATCAGACAAATGAGAACCATCATTGGTAATTCCGGTTAAATATGTTAGCCTATCGTTGGAATCTGTTTCCAAATAATTACATAAATCTTTAGTTACTTCATTTTTTCAATGAAATCGAAGTTAATAATCCTAGATTTCTTAATGGAAAATGGGAATTTGCCAACTTAACAGAAATAGAATGACAAAATACTTTCACGCTTTATTTAGATTTTACAACGTACAAACATGATAAGATTTCCTTTCATTACTGTTGATACTTATACTTGTTCAAATATAATGCCATAGTTAACCATCTGTTAGTTAACATAAATCTTCAAAAAACTAATAACGAAAAAGGCTTGTATCCACTTAAAAGATCAATATAACCCATTATTCGGTTATTGTTTTATTGATTAACTAATCGTTAGAACTACTTCAATATTACGGTTTACATTATTCCACTTATGTACAACCTGATTTAGAAATGGAACGAAATTAAAGTAATGAAAATTAGCGTCATAACCAATAATGCATTACATATTTCTGAAATCATTAGAGTCGAACCTACAAATCAAAACTTATGAGTGTAAGGTCGTGGAGATTGTTGAGTTTTAATTGAGATGAGGAACCGATCAATTTACGAACCCTGAATCAATTTTAGAACACTGGAAACGTGGAAGCACTAGAATGCCGTCCTGTCATAGCATCGGACTACTCAGTAGTGCACATCCACGAAGCGGGCTCAGTTTCTTGGGGGTTAGTCGTTCGCGCGCAAGACCAAAGATTCTGCGTTCGAGTTCTGCATGCGGGATCGTGAATTTGCACAGATCAAGAGTACCACACTGGGTCGAAACCACCGTCCAGCACTTCCAGGTTTTTAATGAAGATCTGATCGTTTCATGATCTTAATTAAAACCTGTTGATATTTAATTTGCAAATCGAGGTATTGAAGCCAAGAATTGCGATTACTTTATTTTGTGAACTAGGTAAACTTTTTGTAGTGAATTTGATTACTTCATATATTCAAATATATTTTACCCATTAATATTTTGTGAGAAAACGTCTGATCGTCTTTGAAACAGTCAATATTTTTTCTCACCAAGATGGGATTGGAAATAAAAATAAAAAGATTGTAAAATAAATGCAACTATTTTGTCGCCCGTAGTAAATTTAGTTTTTGGTTAGTGACCAAGATCGTGTTATCATGACTCAGAAGACAGCTCTTCTTGCATGTAAATAATCTTTAAATTTCGCCCTTAATTTCTTCTCTTACAAAATAGAGACGCTTATCATTTTACTTCACAGGGTTACCTATGATCGAATTGTAGGCCAGCAACCAGTGTTCAGCTTCGCAAACTATCACTGTATGCTGTTACATAACAGATTATTTCCAGTATGATAAAGTATGCATAATACTTTAAAAGTTGTGAATTTAATTATGAAAACTTATTTGTATACACATGCTCCGTTTTTGTGAATTAACTACGTTTATTTTTTTTCTCAAAAAAAAAAAAATGAAAAAAGTTCTACTTCTCTTTGATTTCTATTATAATGATGAATGATAAGTGAATTTACCGAAGCAATATACATATGTCGGTGTCTTCTGACAAAACACAATTCTTTATTTTCAAATACGAATAATTAAGTAGTGGAACTCGGTTAACAGATATAATTCAGTGCTATCAACTTTGAACGACATCTTATTTTTGAGGATTAGTGATATGATTGACTGCTCAAACTAAAACA